CGACTTGTGAAAAGTTTCTTTCTCCTTCCATTGTGTCAAACCAAAGCTCGAGATACTAATTTGTTGGGTTTTTTAAGGGTTATGTGTATATGTATTTCGATATATCATGTGTGTATATTTCTATTCATGTACTCTATGTATATATAGAGTAAAAATATTACAAAATATTAAATATTCATAATATCTCAATCATAACAGCCTAAATCAAAATAATAACCTAATGTCTTTTTACATTCTCTCTTAAAAGATAATAAATTTTCTTAATACCTAATTTAAATAAAAGATAATAAAGTAATATTTCCAACACTTTTCTCCACCAAAAAGCCAAGAATCTAAGTTGCCATTTAACATGTACTCGTATATGAGGAAGAGATCATTCTTCTTGTGGCACCAACCGGTGAGTTTCAACAAATTCCTGTGCTTCAGTTGGCTAATGATCGCCACTTCTGCTGCAAGTGGAGAACCTGCTGATATCTTCTTTATAGCAGCATAGGAGTTCAAGTCTTCAAAATAGCCTTTATAAAAACAACCGAAGCCACCTTGGGCTAGTTTTTGTGTCTCTTCAAAGTTGTTGGTTGTGTTGGTTTTTTTAGGCAAAGAACTGAATGATTCATATTTCAATATCAGAAACATTGCAATATTTAAAGCCTAAAAATAACTGACCACTAACAACACGATCCTAAATTTTCTCCATGATTACAAAACATGGAAAACTACTTCCTAAAAAACAGGAACAAACTTTGACATAATCAACTTAAAAAAATACGTGGACATGTTTTAGTCCTGAAGCACTCTTCCAACACTCCTCCTTGCTTTAGGAGCTGCAAACACCAAGTTTTGTTCTCAAGTCTTCAAATCTGCTCACTGGCAATGGCTTGGTGAAGATGTCAGCAACTTGTTCCTCTGTTCTGCAATAAATTAGCACAACATCTCTTTCTTTCTGCACTTCCCTCAAGAAGAAAAGCTTTATGTTGAAGTGCTTGGTCTTTCCGTGGAACACTGGATTGTGGGAGATGGCAATGGCAGCTTGGTTGTCAACAAGAATCTGCATGCTTTCCTTTTGCTTCAGATTAAGATCATTCAAGATTTTTTTCAGCCACAATGCTTGGTTAGCAGCTGTTGTGGCAGCAACAAACTCACCTTCTACAGTGGATTGAGCCATTGTTTCCTGCTTCTTAGAGCTCCATGAAAAAACACCAGACCCAAAAGTAAAACAGTAGCCTGAAGTGCTCCTCATATCATCAGTGGAACCTCCCCAGTCACTGTCAGAAAAACCAATCAGCTTGAACTCCATGCTCCTTGTGAACTTAATACCAAAATTACTTGTGCCTTTGACATATCGAATCACTCTTTTTGCAGCCTTGAGATGCAGTTCACTTGCACAATGCATGAATCGAGACAAAATACTTACAGCATTCAACATATCAGGCCTTGTTGCTGTGAGATACATCAGGCAGCCAATCAAACTCCTGAAATATCTTTCATCAACTTTGTCAGCACCATCTTCTTTGCACAACTTCTCCTTTTGATTCATTGGTGTGCTTACTGCCTTGCACTCCTCCATCTGAAACTTCTTTAGTATTTCCTTTGCATACTTTTTCTGGTAGATGAAGACTTCACCTTGCCCTTGCTTAATCTCCATACCAAGGAAGTAGGACATGAACCCAAGATCTGTCATTTCAAACACCTTCATCATCTCCTGTTTGAAAGTTTGAATATGATTTGTATTGTTTCCTGTAACCAATAGGTCATCAACATACAGTGAAACAATAATAATGTCAGTACCATTGTGCTTGACATACAAGGTTGATTCGGATAAGCTTTTCTTAAACCCCAAATTCAGCAAGTGATCATCCATTCTGCTATACCAAGCTCTCGGAGCTTGCTTCAATCCATAAAGAGCCTTCTTGAGAAGAAAAACTTTATCTTCTTCTCCCTTTTTCACAAAGCCTTCGGTTGTTCTACATAAAGCTCCTCTTGCAGAAAACCATTCGAAATGCTCGACTTGACATCTAACCGATACACTTTCCAATTCTTTTGTGCTGCAACAGCAAGCAAAAGTCTGATGGTGTCAAGTCTTGCTACTGGTGCGAATGTATCGGAATAATCCACACCAAACACTTGAGCATACCCTTTAACCACGAGCCTAGCTTTATGCTTGTTGATTGAGCCATCAGCATTAAGCTTGGTTCTGTACACCCACTTGACTCCAATCACCTTCCTATTTTTGGGGTCGATCAACCAACTCCCAAGTGTTGTTTTTCACAATCATGGACAACTCCTCCTCCATTGCAGCCATCCAATGCTGATTCGTCTTTGCTGCATCAAAATCTGCAGGTTCACAAACAGCTATGTTGCATCTTGGATAAATCTCAGATAATGGTCTAGTGCCTCTTATAGGAACATCATCTACATCTTCATTATGCCAGTTTTCATCTCTGTTTTCTTCTGTGTCTGAATTAGGAAGTTTGAACCTCAACTCTGTCATGGTCTGCTTTCCTTTTTCTGAATCATTCCAGCTCCACTCTTCATCTTCTATGAAATACACATCTCTACTGATAATTAGCTTCCCAGTTTTAGGCTGATAAACTTTGTAGGCCTTAGAGGAAGAACTGTAGCCCACGAAGATGCCTGGTTCAGCCATCTTGTCAAGTTTATCACGCTTGACTTGAGGAATATGTGAAAAACACAGGCAACCGAACACTCTAAGAAACTTGAGTGAAGGTTTATAGCCATACCATGCCTCAAATGGTGTTTTTTCCTTTACTGCCTTTGTGGGTAGCCTGTTTTGAAGAAATACGGCTGTACTTGCTGCCTCTGCCCAGAACCTTTTTGGAAAATTCTTCTCATGCAACATACATCTTGACATCTCCATGATGAACCTATTTCTCCTCTCACTGACTCCATTTTGCTAAGGGGTGTACGGGGCTGTTAGTTGATGCTCAATGCCTGCTTCTTCACAAAACTTGTTGAATTTTGTTGAAGTGTACTCCTTTCCGTTGTCAGACCTCAAGATCTGAATTTTGTAGTCACTTTCATTCTCAACTCTTGCCTTGAACTTCCAAAAAACTTGAGCTACTTCGATTTAAACTTTAGGAAAAAAATCCAGCACATTACGGTGAAGTCGTCGATAAAGGCAATGTAATAAAGACTACCTTTAAGGGAAGGTGTTCTTTGAGGACTCGAGACATCCGTGTGAATCAATTGTAGCTTCCTCATAGCTCTTCCTGTCATCTTTGAGAAAGGTTTCCTGTTCTGTTTCCCAAACTGACACGCTTTACAACTTGAAATTTGATTATCAAGTTCCGGAAGGTCATTTGCCATCATCTTGAACTTCATTTGCAGCGACCCTTGGTGATGGTAGTGCCCTAGCCTTTTATGCCACACTTCGTAATGTTTTCTTTGATTGGGAAAGCGGTTTGCTCCTCCTCCAATGGATTTAAAGCAAAACTTTTCCCTTTCATTTTCACTTTGAAAATATCCCGATTTCTTGCATCTTTAATCGGGCAATATTTGTTTTCAAAAACAACCTTAAAGCCTCTTTCAATTAGTTGACCAACACTTAACAAGTTTCTGCTGAATTTCGGGGACAAAGAGAACATCATGAATTAGTTTTGTACACGAACAACTTGTTATAGCAACTTTTCCCTTTCCTTTAACTGAAATATATTCACCATTAACAATTCTGACTTTGGTGATGTTGGTGGGCCTCAATTCTTTGAAAAGTTCCTTGTCATGCGTCATGTGATTGGTGCAGCCACTGTCAATTAGCCAACTTTCTTCAGATGCAACACCTGCAAAACAAGTAGCCACAAAGAGTTGATCCTCTTCCTCTTGGTCAGCAATCTTAGCCTCTTCACCTTGTAGTTGATTCTTGCTCCTGCAAATTACAGCTTCATGCCCCAATTGGTTACATTTGGTGCACTTGGCGTCTGGTCTTCTCCAGCATTTGAAAGGAGGATGACCCTTTTTATTACAATGTTGACATGGAAGGTAGGATCCCTTCTTGACTCCTGATTTGTTGTTGGCTGAAGATTCTCCAGTAGAATTTTGATTTTTCTTGAAAAACTTCTTCTTCTTGTTGTTCCTTACATTCTCATGATGCTTGGTTGGCAAGGCTCCTTCAATAGCACCTTCTTGTCTCATGACTCTTCTTTGCTCCTGTGCTTGCAAAGCATTGAGAACCTCTGCAAGAGTGATTTGACTCAGATCCTTGGTATTTTCCAAGGCTGAAATAGATGCCTCAAATTTTTCAGGCACTGTTGCAAGAATTTTCTGAACAATTCTTGAGTCCTCGAACGCAGAACCAAGTAATCTGATTCGGTTTGTAATGTCCAATAACCTATCAGAATACTCTTTAATTGATTCTGTTTCCTTCATCTTCTGCAACTCAAATTCTCGAATCAAGTTTAGCACACACATTCCTTTGATTCTTTCATCTCCCTCGTATTCTGACTTGAGATAATTCCATATCTCATATGCTGATTTCAGTGTCATAATCCTAGTGAAGATAGTAGATGAGACTGCAGCGAACAAACATGCCTTTGCCTTAGATTTCCTTGTCTTCTTCTTCTTCTGCAATTTGATCTGCGCCATGGTAGGATTGTTTGGGAGAGCAGGAATTTCATAATCCTCTTCCATTGCTTCCCAAATATCCAAAGCTTCCATATATGCCTCCATACGAACTGCCCAAACCTGGTAGTTGTCTCCTTCAAACACCGGTGGAGAAATTGAAGAGTAACTGGAACTTGCTTCTACGTCCATGACACAGCAACCTCACACACTTACTCACAGATCCCTTAAGAAGAAAGCTCTGATACCAATTGTTGGTTTTTTTAGGCAAAGAACTGAATGATTCATATTTCAATATCAGAAACATTACAATATTTAAAGCCTAAAAATAACTGACCACTAACAACACGATCCTAAATTTTCTCCATGATTACAAAACATGGAAAACTACTTCCTAAAAAACAGGAACAAACTTTGACATAATCAACTTAAAAAAATATGTGGACATGTTTCAGTCCTGAAGCACTCTTCCAACAGGTTGCAGCGGCCAATTCTTGATAGCTAATCTCCTTAGGTCTCGTGTGGAGTTCATCATCCATCTCCAGACGAGAAATGCTTTTTTCTTTTCCTTTATTCATCCTCCATAACAAAATATAGACCAACCCTGATAAAATAAAAAACAAACCTGTCCCAATTCCAATTCCCTGCAACATTATTGAGCTGATTAACTTGTTTTTCTTCTTCGAATTAACCTGAATTGGTGGTCTTGTACGTGTACTAAATGACCATGAGAGCAAGGTAAGTTCCTCAGCATATTCACCTGTCGCAGCTGATATGCCGACAATAACCGACTTTGGTAATTGATCTCTGATATTAACGGGGTATGCAAGGTGCTGAATACTTTGTGTTATATTCCCACTACCAAAATTGTATCTCGTGAAAGAAACTATCAAAATGTTTTTTCTAGAATTGTATACAATACTACAGTTACATACTTTCCCCGTATTTGGCGACCATGTCTCGAATATTTGAGACTTCATAGCATTGATATTTACACCTACATGTGAGCCATATGGGTCCCAGTTGTCTGAGTAAGTGTCAAACTCCACTGCTACAAATTGATAATCAGGGTCAATGAGATTTACCCTACCATCGACAAGCCCTATGCCAAGGCCTCCTCCTCTTACGTTTTCATCATCCGCGGAGGGAAGATTTGGGCTTGCAAGGAAGAATGCCAAACCATCACCATAATGATTCTGATTTGAGGAAACAACAAAGGAAAAGTTGGTAGTGAAGTCTTTTAGTTCATCTGAACTATTGTCCCAAAGACTAATCTGCTCTGGATATGTCACTCTTCCTACTGTCCCAGACCCGTTTTCCGTTGCGTTCGTTGTGAGTTGGATAGCAGAACCTAAGGTGGAAGCATTACCTTCCAACTTTAGTTTCTTTACATAAGTTGAACTGAAGTTGGGGCAGTCAAAAGAATGAGGCTGAACATTTGCAATGTTGATTATTAAGATAAACAAAATGGTTCTCCCAAAAACAACACCAATATGCCATCGACAACCAGCCATTGCTAAGTGAGAGTTTTGTGTGATGTTTGAAGCCCAACACACTTTGGTTTCCATATTTATTTGTCTCTTATATTATATTCTTATGTGTCATTCGTAACTTTTGAGATTTGTGTGTGTGTGTCAATGCTCAACATTGGGATGAATGTTCCTACGAACACACAACCTCAAGATGAATAAAAAACGAGCCGGGATCAACTTGTGCAGGTGAAAACGGCAACATTCGGAGTTATAGAATGTTGTAATTAATTACATACAAAGTTAGCTGTGATTATCAGCGGAAATATTCATAAAACCACAACATGCTTTGTTTATTCATATATAAAATGATGACTTGACATATAATGGAAATAAAGAAGAGAAGTTTGAATTATCAAGAAAAAGAAAACAAGAGATGCTTGATAGAGACTTCGCGCTATTTAAGCAGAGAACTTTGAATCATCTTCTTGGAAGTTATAACTAATAAGCGCTCATGCCGTACGTCTTTCATGAATTGATATATTTTTGAAAAAAGTGGTGATATTTTTACAATAAAAAATTCTAACATATTTTAAACAACTCATTTTTATTAATATAATAATTTATAAAATAATTTAATAAAAATAAAATAAAATTATTATTATAATATTAAAAAGAGTTATTTTCAGGAGTTATATAAATTTAGGTTGTCAAAGTATCATTTTCCTTTTCAAAAGAAAATTATAACTGCTTTCATAATTTTATTTTATTTCTTTTGTATAAAATCTCTAATCCATGTGATGTATAAATGAACTTTATTCACTGTAAATTGATTAAAAAAGATGAACTCGTTGTGAGTTTAAAAAACTCGACTAAGTTAGCTTCTAATAAATGTTCCCTCAATTTTTAGAGGAAAATGTCTGATGTACACTTCTAAGTTTCAAACACTCATCCAACATCCATTATTTTCTGTTTTTGATTTAAATTTAAAAATGATAAATTAGTTTTATAATTAAAAAAAAAGAATGAAAGAGGTTGAATGGGTGAATTTAACTTTTTTTTGGTGTCTGTGAATCAGTACCCATTTTGAAAGAAATTAGTTTCAATTACCCACGACTAATTGGATTAAGTTCCGATCATATTTTTCCTATTTTCTGTAAATGTAGGTAAATTTTGATTATCCTACCATCCTCTAATAAATTGTTTGATTTATGTTATTGTTTATCATTTATATTATTATAGTATTTTAATTTTTATTTTTAAAAGTTAGGATGTCCACTTTGTTTTGATAGGATATTATTGTAGTATATTATTTTTTCTTAATCTTTAAGAGCACCATCATTTATCACCTTCATCATCACCTTATTAAATTTCACAACAAAACAGATATTTTACTTTTATCTTCACTAATCAGTATTATTATTTGTGCCATGTGCATAGAGATTGAGTTTGGTTGAGTTCGGGTCCAACTGCATGAGTAAAGTGGGTCAAGATAAACTCATTTGGGGAGATGAACTTGATTGATATCTAATAGCCCAATGCGTAGGCGATCTGAGAAATAAGATACTATTGAGACCGATAGATGCGCCAAAAGAAAAATCCTAAAAAGAAATTTGATTATAAAAGGGAAGGAAAAGACTTAAAACCTCGTATCCCTTGATTCAGAACAATTTATTATATAATATTTGTTATATTAGTAGTTTAGAAAAAAAATTATTGACAAGCATACGTTATTTTCAAATCTAAAATATTATTATTATTATTATTATTATTATTATTATTATTAGTGAAAATATATATTTATCATATATATTTTAAATATTAATAAAAAATTAAAATACAAGTAATAAATTATCACGTGTTAATATATATAATTTTATTTTATTTCAAAAGTTACGTACTCGTATATCATTTATTATACTAAAAATCGTTATAGTTTTCCTATATTATTTATTTTCTTATATATAATTAATTTTAAAATATAAATAGTTAATATTTTTTATTTGTTCAAATATAAATTATATATAAATAATATTTGAAATAAGAATATCATTAAATATTATATTAATAGTTATCCTTATTTTTTATTTTGTTGTTTAAAATACATTTCAAGAAAAATAATAATAACTAACGATAATGATTTTACAATATATTATTAAATTTGAAATAATTTTTAATATATTTTTATTATTAACGATGACAACAATACAATAATAATAATAATAATAATAATAATAATAATAATAAATAAATAAATAAATAAGAGATAAGAGAAAAAAAGGGACATATAATAGAAAAGAGAAAAATAAAAAGTGGATGAAAAGAGAAAAATAAAATAAATATTTGTCGAAGAGAGAAGAAAAATTATATGCAAACAAGATCTATCTTAATAAATAAATTAAAAAAATATATTTAAATAAAATTTCTTTTAAACTATATTATTTAAATATAGATAACAAAAAAATGGTTATCTCACGTACTTATTTAGTGAAGAGATTATATGGTTATTAATTTATATTTTATCAAATAATTAAAGTTTTTATCTAATAAAAAATAAAAAATAAATTAAAAGATAATAAAAAAACACTTAATGCAATGGAGTAGTGAAACCGGAACTTTTTCTTTAGTGTTGCCTCATGCAATTTTTATTTTTAATAAATGATCTCTGCAACGCTATCGTTAGTGTCTATCATGCATATGTTAATAATTATTTTAATTTTTCACATAAAAATTGAAGGAATAAAAAAATATAGATTTGTTTCCCGTATGAGACAGAGCATTCGATATAAAAAATGTAGTTGCCATGGTGACTTACTTTTACCCCGATGTTGCCACAAAGCCTATCTATAAATCTCGTGTGTTGTTAACTATTGCAATAGAGTTACTTGTCGTCAAGGACCATGATTTTGCTGCATTTTTTCACATCACCACTTCCAATTGACGACCACATACATTCATATATCTATCAGGGTTAGAGTTCATCACTGAAACGTTGCTATTATACATCAAAATCTCTATTCATTATTATTACATTGTGCCTATCTCTACCACTAACTTGAACCCCAAAAGAAAGACGAAACTGAACCAAAAAGTGCTTTTATCGTTGGAGGAAGATAGGTTGCCACAGGCATGGTCTCTGGGAGAATGGGCAAAAGTGAATCAAATATAAGGACCTGAATCACTTGCCTTATAGAAGGCCTGAATGAGGTATCTGGATGAACACACCAAAGGCCAACAACCATTAAACGTTCCATTTGCTTCTCATCAAATTCTCCACATAACTTTGGGTCAGCAGCTTCAAGGACCCTTCCCAATCCATAGAGCTTCCAAACCCACTCAACTACAGCTATTTGGCCCTCCTCGGCTTCTACTTCAACAGATTTTCTTCCACTAGCTATCTCCAATAACACAACCCCAAAACTGTATATATCAGATTCCTTGGTAGCCTTTCCTGAAATGAAATATTCAGGGGCAATATAGCCCCTAGTCCCAGCTATACGTGTGGTTTGTGACCCTTTCTCATGGTCCACCAGCCTAGCCAAACCAAAATCACCAAGCTTAGCATTGAAACTTGAATCCAACATTATGTTGCTTGGTTTTATATCCCTGTGAATCACACACTGCTCCCACTCTTCTTGTAGGTAAAGCAATGCTGAAGCCAAGCCCAAAGCTATATTATACCTCACTTTCCATGTTAAGAAGCTTTTCACACCATATAGATGTGAATCTAAGCTTCCATTTGGCATGTACTCATACACGAGGACAAGGTCATTCTTCGTATGACACCAACCAATAAGTTGTACTAAATTCCTATGTCTCAATTGACTTATTACCTTCACTTCTGTCACATATTCCTTCATTCCCTGTCTAGACTCTCTTGATATCCTCTTGATAGCAACATAGGACTTCATGTCTTTCAAATAACCTTTATACACCCCACCAAAACCACCTTGCCCCAGCTTCTCTGACTCGGCAAATTTGTTTGTAGCACATGCTAGCTCATTATAGGAAATGCTCTTAGGTCCAGTGCCCTTTGGGAATTCATCACCCATCTTGAGATCAAAAACTAACTCATCTTTTCTCCCTCTACTCCTCTTCCACAATAAAGTACAAACCAGCCCTAACAAACTCAGAACGAACCCTACACCGATTCCAAGCCCTACCCACGATCCTAGTTTCTCTCCTTCTTGTTTTATCTCATCGCTTTGTAGACTTGAATTAAATGACCATGATCTCAATGTATGCACTTCATACAATATTCCTGTTGCGGCGGAGAAACCAAGAATAACCCTCCCTGGTAAGTAATCTCTCAGATCAACCTTGCATGAAATATGTTCTTTAACCGTTTTACTATCATTGTGCATGGTCAATGAAACGCTCAAAGTTAGAGTGCTTGAATTGTATGCAATCCTGCAATTATAAATTTTCCAAATTTGAATATCTGTCAACCATGGCTTAGATACGTTAGACTTCATGGAGTTGAAATTCAGACCTACATGAGAGCCAGAATATGGAGGGTCCCAAACGTTGTTGAAGGTGTCAAACTCCACTGCTACAAACGGGTATTTAGCTGGGTGTTGAGTTGAATTCACTGCTTGTTCGCCATCCATAAGCCCAAGACCACCTCCTTCTTTGATATTCTTTAGAAGTGGGAGTCTAGGATCAGCAAGGAAGAATGCCATTCCATCTCCATAGTTTTTCTTTTCTGAAAAAATAACAAAGGAAAATTTAGTAGTGAAATCGGCAAGCTTTCCAGAGTTCACATCCCAGAGGAGCATCTGTTGATAACTTGTGACTCTCCCAACACTGAAATTGTTGTTTTGGTCAATGGTGTTGGATGTGAGTTGGATAGCTCCTTTTAGAATAGAAGCATCCCCTTCCCATTTTACATCACCATTCTTAAAGTTGGGGTAATTGAATGATAGTGAGTTTGCAAGAGGGATTAATTGGAGGATGAAAATTGTTCCCATTGCATGACAGAGAAGAATTGGATTATTAAAATTATTTTGCCACCAAGCCATCTACAAGGGAGGAATGCTAGTTCAATATTTTGTGGGAACACCTTCATATATTGATGACATAACATTGAAGCTAATATGTTATCGAGTTTTATGTTTTCATCTGCATGATTATGCTTTTCTGTATTTAATTGAATTCCAAACTGTCATGGAAATCCTATTCTAGATTAATTCAACCACGGCCTACCTTGCTATATAGATTGAGCGATAACTACAATATTTTTGTCGATAGTATAGACATCAGTGGTGACTTGAGCTAAAAATTCATCATAGAATCATGAAGCCAACATTTCTGCAACTTATACTTTCTATCCTTTAGTTTTTTGTTTTCTGTGACTTTGGGATTATATAATGGTCTTCATAGTTTGTGTACATCATATTGGCCGGCATTGTTGTAGTTTGTGAAGTACACAAATTTCAGCCACGCATTATTACTTGGGGTCTGAGCCATCAAAGGAAGAACACTTGATTTAAATCTTTTTAAATGTTATTAGGATCTATATGAGGAGAAAATTCTCCATGAAGTAAAATCTGTTTCTTATTCAACGTTCTAGACTTGTACTTGATGATAGTAAAATCTGTAAAAGGGTTATTTTGTAGTGGAAGCATTGAAATGAAAGAAAAACTTGAAGATAGTACTGACAAAAAATATAAACCAAGCATATAATGGGTTGAAAGGAAATGAGATAATCTTTATAACAGAAGGTAAGGGCCCAGCCCATTGGAGAGACCAGACAGAGGAAAAATGTTAATAATGACATAGTTTTGTTTTGATTTCAAGAATGAATGAACTTAATTCATCTTCACATAGAGCATCGTGCAACACGAAAACGTACCTATCATATGTATACAAATAGTGAATTCAATACTTGTGATATTTGGCTTTTGTTTTTGTTTTAGAGGTAATATGTCTCTTTAGATTCTCTAGATATATCAGATTTTTTAAACATTTTTAAGGCTTTTTTATTGGGATGATAAGTTCAAAAGACAACCTAGATAGATCCTCACACATATTAGTCCATAGCAAGCAAGCAAGCCTTTTTTTGGACTTCACCTGGTCTTTATATAAGTTTGATCAAGATTATCCTTATAAGTGAGATGAGATATTAGTTTATTTTACTAAAATAATATTATTAATAATATTAATATTTATAAAAAATATGTTATATGTAAACCAAATTTTAAATGGACAGGGGTAGGTGTTGAACAAATAATATTAAAGTTGTATGAAAAAATAAAGAATTGTTTGTTTAGTGTTTTACTTTTTAATTAGATTTTTGAAATAATAAAAAACGTATGTTTTAATTTTTTATTAATGAGAAAGTTGTAAATATTTTGAGAATGAAACTCTTCCCATTCAAATTTAAATAATTCATAATATCATTTGTAGATTTTTTTAGTGGGTTTACATCCTCTATTCGCCTATCATATTAATCTTATTCTTGTTTATTCAACTTTTTTTTATCATTTTAAATCATTTTATTGAAAAATAATTTTTTTAATTTGATGGTTTCCCTAATGACACTTTATTTTAATTAGATGTGTTTATATTTTATTTTAAGTTTAATTTATTTTTATATAATTTATAAATGACAAATAATATTTACTTATTTTAATACTCGTTTCTTATAAATGACAAGTAATACTACAAATAATTATTAACTGTCTCCCTTATTTCTAATTTCTAGTATTTATTCATATTTGAAGACTAAAAATTGAATTCATTTGCTAAAAAAAATAACTAATAAAAAAAAGAATCAAATGAGTTTTTTTATTTATTTTTAAAATCGTTTTTGAAAAAAAATTATCATACAATTTTTTTCATTTTCTAATTTTTAAAACAATTTTTAAACTATAATTATTAAACAAGGTTTTTTTTTCTCATTTAAATTGTTTACTAAAATTATTTTTAAAAACTAAAAAAAATTAAATCAAATAAGTTCTAAGATTTCAATTTTCACTGAAATAATATTTACTCATGCTACTTCAGTTTTGTTATTATGATAAAAATAATAATAACAATAATAAATTATAAAAATTTATAAAAATATTATTATTATTTTTATCAATAATAAAAAAATTAATAATTATTATTATTATTATAACTACACGAATAAAAATAATATAAATGATTATTAATAATAATATTAGGTTTAAATATATTTTACTGCTTATAAAATAAATCAGTTTTAATTTTGGTTCCTATAAAAAAATACAGTCTCTTTAAAGTTGAAAAATACTATTTTGATATTTAATATTATAGATACTAATTAACTATTTTTATGTTTTTGAACCTAAATTATCATTCTAAATAATATATATATATATATATATATATATATATATATATATATATATCAATATTATAATATAATAATGTGGACATGCGTGAAGTAAAAAACAACTTGTTATTCATCAATAATTTCAAAGTTTGAAGGATGAAGATGAAAGAATATTTTATAGAGACTAAAACTAAAGTTTACACATTTTGTAAGGATTAAAAAAAATATATCAAATTTTATAAAGATGAAAAACAAAATAAAAAAATTTTAAGCCCGAAAGCCAAACGTAGTACTAATAAAATATTCAAACCTTTATGTTAATTATTGATATTAATATTGTTGATTTTAATAATATTAATATAATAATTTTTTGTTACTAATTAGAATTCTAATTTTTTTTATTTATAGAAAGCTTTGATATGATAATAATAATCGGTGTGAGATTAAGAGATCCAAATTATGTTCTTGATTCACTTATTATTTGCAGCATGTAAAAAAAAAGTATAATATAAGAAAATTAGACCAAAACTCATGAAGCGAATAAACTTGTAAGCAAATAGGCCAAGGTCGTTCGAACTTATTAAATACGATATATTCTTCCTGCATCTCAATAAACGTTGAGATACGTACACAATGAATTGAAGGAAGTTTATCAATTCCTCTTTCATCATCAGAACACCCGAACCTCTCTCTCCATATTGGAAGCTTGAAACTCAGCCTCCAACGTACACAATGAATACTTTGACCAACACGTGCAGTAAAGAAAACCCTAGACAGTGAGCACAATCACGCCCCAAAAGTAGCTCCTCAAATTTATGGTAGATCCATCATGATTTGAGGCACATATATATACAACATGATTGGTCATCTAATCGAAACTCTTAACATTCTCTTTATGGAAAAAAGTAAACTAATTGAAACTGGAACCAATTGATTTTCTTGGTTCAGAAAATTTCCACACTTTAAATCTTAGAACTCTACGCAAAATCTTACCGTGTCTGAAAAATTTAGATCAGCACGCTTTAGGGATTATAGAAAAGTGAATTAGAGTTCGGTTAAAGGTTTTGGATTGATGATGAATACATTTCAATGTTAAGTAAACTATGAAGAGTCAACAATCTTTGTGAATATACTTGCATTATTGAAGTGGAATGCAAGAAAACAATCTAAATCGTACTCCAATGCAAATATGTTTCTTCAATTTGTTTGTGTTACAGTGAAATAAAGTTTTGGTTACAAATTCCAAGCTTCATTACACGACCAGTGTGTATTCGACATTTGGAATATGTTTAAACATGATATCATATTTTTTTATATGATATGCAACAACAAAGGGTGCGTTGATATTAGTTTTAGTGGCATGAAATATAGTTGACTTACCTACTCCCATCATTTGTTGATGATTGACACTTGGCTAGGGTCTTAGGTGGAGACATTAAATAAAACCCAATGCTTTAGTTTAAGGAAACACGGAATCGTTGGTCGTTTAATTTAAGGAAACAAACGTATCTTCATTACACAAATAATCTTTTTTCACGTGGGTAAGAACAAGCACAAGTGTAAGTTCCCGAGATGTCAATATAATATAAAATACTGTATTTGTCTTGGTGTGTAAGCGCGGTTATTATTATTTGCATTACTGCCATAAAAGTTAACCTATTCTCGTAAACGATGCCTTAAAACTTATTATGATTACCATGACAAATAGTGTTAAAAGTACTTTTATGTTTATATTTTTTATAATTAATTTTTTTTAAAATATTATTTTAAACTTTATTTTTATTTTTATAATATGTTTTTCATATTTTTATTTTCTTTCCAATAAAATATACTTAAAAAAAAAATCTTCTTTACGTATAATTATTGATACAAATAATTAGTAGAAATACGAATAGTAAAGTGTCCACCTATCCATATTTTTTGTAATATTAGTTTTTTAAAATATTTTTAAATTTTATTTTTCTCTTTTTTTAATTATCATACTTTTTTATCTTTTATCTGTACATATAAAAATAATATTATATCATCAATAATGACATAAAAAAACTAATAAAAAAACCTTTTTTATATATAATACCTTCGTTCCATTACTTATTAAGTTTTTCAAATTTATTTCACAGTTATTTTTAATTTATTTTTCAAATAAATTAATATATTTTTATAATGTTTTTAAGTTGTTTGATAAAAAAAGTATAACATAGTATTATATGTCATCATTTATTAACATAACACATCACATTTACATTAATATAATATATTATTAATTATTATTGTTGTATCATACATCTTAAGATAATAAATGAATTATTAAGCCTATATAATGTATAATCTTTCTATATAGAATATTCCTCATTAACTCCATCAAAGGGCGTGCATAGCTCTTAGAACGTAATATATGTAATAAATAGGATAAGATAAATTTTGATGAAAATGAAAATATTTAATTTTAAATATAAACAAATACATATAATAAATAAATCTCGCATCTTTAAAATTATTTTGTCTGTTATTTGTTGTTCTTGCAGGAAAAAAATCCGGGTAGGTACCAAATAAAATATGAAACTTATATTTTAGTGAGATTCACATTATTTCACTCAATAAAAGACATGTAGAAAATTTGTGTTGTTAATGTTATTTTGGGTCGGATTTACGACAATTTAATGCGTAAAC